CCCAACGCCTCACGTGGTCCCAGGTGGGGCTTTTCAGAGGTGGCTGGATCTGGTGTGTGATGCTGGGATTAAGGACGTGATCTGGGATTAAGGACGTGATCTGGGATTAAGGGTGGCCCATCCTGTGTATTGGTAGCACCACCCTAAAGGGAGTAAACTGGAAGGGATAAAAGGGAGAGAAGACTGTTGCTGTTTGCTGCTTTGCTGCCTTCTGCCTGCTATGAACCATTTCTCCTCTGCAATGTTCCTCTGCCATGCCACCCTGCCTTGGAGCCAGCTGACTACAGACTGAAATCTCTACAATCTGTGAGCTGAAATACACCTTTCTTCCTTTAACTTTGTTTTTTAATTAACTAAGTTTATTGGTACACTTTATATATACATAATGATCACATTCATCATAGGAATTTGTACTTGTACACAGTATAGCTTGATTCTTCTTTCTTCCCACTCCCTTCCCTTCAACTCCTAATCCCCTCCTTATTTACAAAAGCTTTGTTTCCATTTTTTTCTCCTTTGGTTGTTTTTTTTTTCTTTTCCCTTCCTTCCTACCCCATCCCCTAGTTCCCCTTCTATTTGAACATTTTCTTCCTATTTCAATATATCTATTATATACTGTGGTCCTTATTTACAATCTCAACTTCTCACACTAGAGAAACAATGCAATATTTACACAAATGTAAAGACCCAATCAAAAATGGACACCTGAAATGAATACACACTTCTCAGGTGAAGAAGTACAAATTGCAAATAAATATATGAAAATAGGGTCAACATCACTGGTCATTTGACAGATACAAATTAAAACAATGCTGAGATTCCATCTCACTCTGGAAAGAATGGCTATCATCAAGAAATCAATTAGTAACAATTGTTGGCAGGGCTGTGGAGAGAATGAACCTTTCTCCACTGTTGGTGGGAGTGTAGAGTGGTGCAACCACTGTGGAAATCATTGTGGAAATCTTCAGAAAACTAGAGTTAGAGGTCCCACTTGGCCTAGCTATTCCCCATCTGGGTATATTTTCAGGAGAATTGAAAACATCATGCTATAGCAATATATGTGCATCCATGTTTATAGCAGCTCAACTTGTCATAGCAAAGTATTGGAAATAACTCAGATGTCCAACAACCAAGGAATGGATAAAGAAGATGTAGATATAATGGAGTACTATTCAGCCATAAAGAAGGATAAACCTGAGACATTTCTAGATGCATGGATGCACTTTGAGACCATACTCTTAAGTGAAATAAACTGTTCCTTTAACGTTAGGTGTTGGATGTTTTCTCTCAACAATGAGAAAAGTATCTAAGACACACACATTCTCAACCCGATTAGTAAGTCCTCCACACATGGATAATGCATAGATGAATAAAGCGGTAATTAAAGTCAGTTACCTCAGTTCCATCCTGGTGGCATCCTGTTCAGCCACAGGGAGTAAAAATGCAGAGGCTAATTTTGTGGGCCTCCTCTGTGTGCTTAGTATCTCATTTAATCTAGCTATAGTATTTCATTCAATTTGTAAAACACCATTCTGAGTAGGAATTAATATCCCCATTGAGAGGTGTGGAGGCTGCAGCTCCTGGGGGATTACTGTACCTAAGTGGGAGCACTTACCTACCCGGCAGTGCTTGGATTCGGCTTGCATTAGAACACCCAAAGACAGGTCTCTTTCGGCTACGCTCTGTTTTCTCTCTAGGTCTCTGCAAACTGTCTTCCTAAGGTGCTTGATGCTTAGAAATCATAGTTGTTAGGAAATCACCTCAGGGACCAGGGGACATGTCTAATGTGTTGTCAGTCGCTCTGCTACAGCAAGGATTTAAAATGCCCTTGTACGATCATGAACTGACCAAGCCATTTGCCACAATGACCAACAGAGCCTGCTAAAATATTAACATACAGGCCATGTGGACGGCACAGCTGTTTGTAGGTATCCAGCTCTGGCCGCGCTTAGACCGGATTACTCAGGCAGCATGACCGCAGGGGTGGTGCCTAGCTTGCTTTGAAACAGTGATCTGCGATCCTGTTAATTAATTATTTATATTTTTTATTTCGCTACTTCCAGAAAGGGTTTGGAGTAGCCTGCTGAGAACAAAGACTGTCAACGCAAAATAATAAACCATAGGTTGTCCGATGGCTGGGAGCTAATAAATCTATTTTAAAACTTGAGTTAACATAGGTTTTATGTGGTGGGACCTGACTGCAATCTTGAATTACTTGTCTAGTGGACCCAGAAACAGTATGAAAGCTAAGAGGCTAAGAAGGTTTAAAATGATAACGTGTGAGAAAATCGTTTGGCAAAGCTTTTCTTTTGAGATAGTACAAAGTTAAACACTAGGGGAAATGATCCCACATTCCACGTTAGCAAGGTAGAATGAGTAGCTTTTACTACAACATGCAGCTTGTTTATGGAATTAGCCTTTGTTTTTCTCTCTAGAATTTATTAACATCTGCAGCATTTTAGTACAAAGAAGAGAACGTAATGCACTGCTTACCTTTGTCAAAGCAGAGATCTGGTTATTAATGCATAAGGCTTTATTTACCCAATCTCACAGGGCACTGACAGGTTCTATGTAAATAAAATTTCCATCAAAATTTGTTCGTTTGAATAAGAGGACAAATCTTTAGAATGTTTTATTGTAGACCTTTCTTAAATAGATCATACTTTTTCTTTCACGGATATTGAACATAATCTGATCTTTTCTTGATGAGCCTGGGTCACTAACGCGTCAAGCAGAGGCTGCTTGATTTGAAGTCACTCAGACCTGTTTGAAATCTCACCTTTTCTGGTATTATGAAAAGAAAATATTGTTGGGCTCACTGGGCATCATTAAATAAGGCATGAGGAAGTCCTGCCTTTGTTTTGTGAAATATAGGCAAACAAAGGCTTTTACAAAGTAGTACTTTGGTTTTTTTTGATGTGCAAAAGTGAAGTGAGTCCTGAAGGACCAGAGGTTTAGAAAAACAGTAAGTGCCCTAGAGCTTTTAAGGCTGCTATACCTTGCTTTTTAATGGTAGATAAATATTTCATGCATTGTCATTAATATTTTATTACATGTTTTCAGTTTTTATCTCAAAATGTGTGCTTTAAGTTATGTTTTCTGAATTAGTAAAAATACTCTTAGTGTTTATTGATATCACAGTTTTAACTTAAGCATGCAAAATTAAAATGTCAGCCAATAGGGAGAATATTTAAATTTTCTGAAGCAATTTCATGTTTCCTTTCAGAAATTCAGCTATTGACAAAAATAAGGAGGAATAATCTGAATTTTAAAACATTTACTTTTACTTTATTATGAATTTTAAAAAAGAGTTGCTTATTTAAATGTATTCTTTTTTTTTTTTTTTGGTCCTGGGAATCAAACTCAGGACCTCATGCTTGCCAGGCAGACACTGTGCTGCTGAGTCTCATCCCTGGCCCAAATGTGTTGAATTCTTAAAGACCTTTTTAAAAAAAGAAAGTTTAATATCAGTGTATAACTCAAACTCAGGAGGATTCGAGCAAGACTGATCAGAAGATGCAGACCATTCTTTAATGTGACATGTGTTAAATGTACATGCCTTTATCCTCCTGAGGGCATAAAAGTATGTTTAGACAAGGCATTTAGGAGAGAAAGAATGTTTCCAGGGAAGGGTGCCATAATCTTTACTTTAGTTAAGCTTTTCATGAAATGGCACATGAAAAAGACTTGATTCATTGGCACAGAATTTGTGAAACAGTTTGGTGTGTACATTTTGTATATGTAGCAGTTCTATTTATATCATAAAAGCCCACTTCTGCTGTTTCTAATTATTTCTTGAATAAACTGTCAAAAATATTTAGGTTTACCAAGCTAGAAAATGTTTGTCTGGTCTCAGAGAATAAAATGTGTTGAGAATGAGAATATGGAATTCATTTTCTTATCAAACCTAGAAACATTATACCAGACTGTATCCTGACAAGTATATATTAGACATTATAAGCAAAGGTTTAAGGACCTCCTGTTCCTTCGGAGAGAGACAATCCTTTTATGTGTTGGCAAAAATGCTTTTGGTTTCCTGCCATTAAATCTAAGTGGCAGTAAAAATTTGAGCAAAGTTGAAATAGTTCTTTATACAATATACTCTTTAAGCGAATAATATATACCTGTAAGAATAATTTTACTTAAGAAGATGAAAAATTACATTTTTTCATCATGTGAGGGGGAATGGCCATAATTATCTCCTGGTCAGATATAAATTTTTCTATCCATTTTAAACATTCTGCATATGCCTTGACTAGCGAGCCAATTTTACCATTTGAAAGGCGGGAAGAAAGATCAGAAAACTCCTGCTACTTTCTTCTAAATTGAATGGTGGTTTCATGGAGAAGTTTTCATTTAATTTATAATGATCAGATTGTGTTAAGTAGAACCAGACTATGGGTTAAACATTTCCATATGTTATAAAGGCTCAGAAGTTTTCCTGAAAGGAGACACCATTCTAAATTCAGACATTACCTGCTGCTTCCAAAAATGGCGGCAGCTCCACCCAGATTTTTACCTCCTTGCTAGCTCTGTGTGTTACATGTGAGCACGTACAGGAGACACTTGTCCCCTGGTAGTTCTCGTCACCTGGGAGGGCCCCTACCTCCGCCACAGTCTTGGACCTCCACAGCTACCATGTTTTAATCCTACAGTCATTCACACTTGCTTTCCTCCTCTGTTTATAAAATGAAAAAACTAGGTAAATGCAGGGAAGGAAGGCAGAGCTGACAAAATTCTGGAAGTCTGCTTCTAGGGTTGGAGTCACCCTGAGCCTAGTGAGATCTATAAATGCTTCGTAACTCACCCCTTGTTGGTATGACCTTTTGGTGACTATAACCATCCCCTCTTCATTTTATGCTCCAGAAGCTTGTGAGACCTCAATGAGTCAGGAAGAATCTTAAATTCAAATCCAAAGAATCCAAAGTGATGATAACAAAACACAATAATTGATATCTGAACAAAGGTTAGTATTTGACAATGGATAAAGATTGGTATACCTTCCCTTCCTCGGGGCTCTGTTGACATGAACTGTGAACGTCGTCTTCTCTTACCAACTTTCCAGGCCAGGAAGTCAGTCCTTTGATTTGGCCCCAGACCAAGTCACCAACATTGAACGTCCTTGGTCTATAATGTATCAACTCATTTGAAGAAGGGGAATCTGGGTTCCTTAGGTCATCTTCACTACTAATGCTTTTAGCGTCCGAAGGGCTGGGCACACACCCATTAATGCTTTTGGCATTAAAGTCTCCATTGTAATGGATGTAGTCTTTGACTAGAGAACTTTCCAAACTATTTGAGGAACTCGGAGACTGCTCCTCTAGGATTAGGTCTTGCTTCGCAGTGCTTAGCAGCTCTCCAAAGCCCCGACTCTGTCGAGGTCTGTTCCCGTTAATGTGTGCACATCTTTCCACAGTGTTCTCTAGTCTCTCCTTAAAACTTATCATAGTTCTTTTGTAGTTATTATATTTGAAATTCTCCTCCAGAATCTTATCCCCTTGACAGTTCCTTGGTGGTAACAGTATTGGGTGCTGTTCTCCGGGAAGAAATGGCAGTGTGGAGACGTTGTTGGGCCTTTCATGACAAGGACTACTGTGGATGTGGCCTGGCTGATCTAAAAATTCCTCATACTTCCACCTGTTTCGCTCCCCTCTGGGGCTTTGCTCCCCATCCCACTGTTTTTTGGGTGTGTGGCAACTTGCTGACTTGAAGTACTCAAACCCATCTCTTTCGTTTGAGTTTTTCCCATGGTCTAGATTCTTGGACATCCGGGGCCCTCTCGCGTTCCTCAGCCTGCCATCGTGATCAACACCTCCCATGCTCCGTCCATGAATGACAGCACTGACAGCACTGGAGAGATTTAGTGGGTCGCCGATGGAGGCAGTGAAGGCACTCATGGCGCTCAGAGCAGGGATAGGGCTGATCTGAGTTGTACTGTTGACGGCAGTGGTGATGACAACCTGCATTCCTTTGCTGGCTGCATCGACAACTGCTTTGTAAATGGCATCCACGGAAGCATCACCTTGGTTACCCATAACAAGACCATCCTTCACCTGCTGAGCAAGAGAGGGGTCGAGCCGCTGTTGCAACTCACACGGCGTATCTTGGAAAGGCGGAAGTGCAGTGTTGGGGTTCTCAGGAATTGCTGCGAGCCCCGGCTGAGTGCTTATTCTTTTGTTTAGGAGAGCTGCATCTTCTTGCATCCTCACCTGAAGGAACAGAAAGAAGTAAAAGCAGGGTGGAGGGAGAGATCTTTAAGGCCTCTAAGGGAAACACTATCACTTTAAGATTTACCAAAGCACAAGTAGATTTAACAAGAAGGGAAATATAAACAGCAAGACTCAAAAATGAAAAGAAAAAAACAACAACCCTACTCCTTGTGAAAAAAACCTCTTGATTATATTCGGATACTGTTTCTTTGGTTGAAATCACTCAACAGATCTTCTCTTTCTTTAAAAAAATATCAATGGATTCTCCTTAAGCTTTGTTTTACTTGCTGTCCTGGTGATATGACTGAGACCTTCTTCCTTCTTTCTGAATTATTACATATGATATATGTGAATATTATTGTCCTTCCTTCCTTCTTTTCTCCTATATGCATCGAATTATATTGTAGTACCATTCTGGAAATACTAGAGTATTGGAGTCTTGTAGTCTTACAGATCTTTCTATATTGGATTAGATATTTACGCTACTAGGTAGATAGATACATCATAATGCATTTAACTATTTTGACACTGATGAATTCTTAAATGATTCATAATTTCTGATGCTGTAAATCATGTAGCTTGATGCCTTCTTTTTTTTTTTTTTTTTTTTACCGGGACTTGAACTCAGGACCTTGCGCTTGCCAGGCAGGCGCTTGTGCCACTGAGCTATATCCCTGGCCATGTAAATCATGTTGTGATGAACATTACAACATGAAATTTTTTTGTTCACATCTTCAGACTTGTCTTAAATAGACACTTAGAAATTGAACTTCTGGGCCGAAAGATCTGTATTTCTTTTTTTTTTTTTTTTTTTTTTTTTTTTTTTTTTTTTTTTAGATCTGTATATCTTAAAACTTGATATGCTATCAAATTATCCCCCAAAAGAACTGAACAAGCATTCACACAGACAAACAGTAATCTGGGAGAATCTATTTTCTCATATCCTTATCAGCAATGGCTATTCCAAATTCAATGGACACACTGCTATAATCTGTATAACTTCTAATTGTTCTTTTAATATTTTTACTCATAATTTATCTTTAATTTTCTGTGCTTTGTGTGCTTATAGGTATTGGTCATTTTTCTAGTAAATTATGCATTTTCTTCTTGATATAAAAACTTTTTATGTTACAGAGTATGCATTATACCAATATTTTGTGCTAGTTGGCATCTGTCTTTTACTTTGTGGAGAATATCCTTGACCAAGCAAAGATTTTCTTTTATATTCAACTGTTATTTTTTTCTTTTGACACATTAGTTTTGTGTCTTAAAGAATCTCCTTTAAGATTTTATATACTTAAAAAATTTCTACATTTTGTTCTTATATTTATTTAGTGTTACCCTTGCCATCTAATTTTTTAATCTAACAGGAATTTATTCTTTTTGTAGAACAAAAAGAAGGTCATATGGCTGAAACCAGAAAGAGAAGGATAAGAGTTAAGGCCGGAGAGGGAACCCAGTGGCAAGTGAAGGGTGTGCATCTTAACCATGAAGCAATGAGAAACAAAAAAGGATTTAAGGGGAGAAATCCATTTTTTTACTCACAGCTCCAAATGCACCATTGCTTCAGACAAAATAAAATTACCTTTGCAGGAAAGACTGGAATATTTAATACTCAATAGTGAGAAATAACAATAAATAGAGACAGAGGGTGCACTACCTACTCTTTTCATTCCTTCCCTAAAATTACATGTCTAAACAAACCCAGACGTAGTTTCCCACTAAAGAGGTTTAAAGGGGGACGGTACCTGAAAATTCTGAAAGAGACAAGCCATGGGGTTACTGTTAGCTGCGCAAGGGACGGAGGGCTGTCCTTGGAAGGCCTGGAGACTCTGGTACCCCTGGAGAAGTTGCTGCTGTTGCTGACTTGGAGGAAACATCTGATTGTTGTTTAGCAGCGACTGTAGATGAGTCAGTTGGTGGTTATTCAAGGTATTGTTTATTGATGACATATCACCTACAATTTGAAAAACATAACATATAAGTCAGTGTTATTTGTCAGAGATCCTATGCCTATCTTTATACCTGAGAATTTCTGAAACAAAAGCTAAAACCTAAATGTACTTGGGTAATTTCTCTGTTTTCTTCTCAGAGTCTGAGTGGTAAGGAGCAAATACTTTATTATTTAGTGTTATCTTCCATAATTAGGTTTTTAAAAATTTTTAGGTCATGTAAAGGCTAGTCAGCCCTTGCCCTATCCATTAGCCATGTTATATATTGTCTCAGTATTATGATTCCTTCCCTCTATTTTTATTAGAACATCTATAATTAAAGGTTAACATTTGTCCTAAATATTTTAGCAATCATAAATAATTGACCAGATGATTAAAATGAGTGGGTGTGATCAGGCCTAGTTTATAAAATCTATAACCATCAGTAAATATCTCCAAAAAAATAAGAGATTTAGTTTAGAAATGTACATTTTATGTTGCAGTAAAAGACTTGTCACCTAAAATTGAAATTATAAAGAAAGCTAACAACACCAAAAATTCAGTAACAAAAATAAATATTATTTTAATACACTAATTACTAGCATTAATTAGATTATATACATCTTAAGTATTAAGAACTAAATTTATATTTAAAACTCAAAACTGTTTTGAAATTACTGAAATTATTCTGAGAACAATGTCAGAGAAATTGTCCTGTAACTTGACATTTATAAGTCTGTAGTGCTTTTTAGGTTATTTAACAGTGATTTTAAGGCCTGATAAAACTAGTTATGCTATCTTATAAAAGGGTCCATAAAATGTGGAAACAAATAATTTAAAAAACATTTTTACATATTGAAGATGCCCATGACACCAGCATGGATATTGGCCTATTTTTCTAGACTTTATGGACACCACCCTCATACTTTATGTTATAGTTACCCTCCTCCATCATTTCCGTTCACTTGACATTATTTTCTAACTTGTTTCTGATAGGATAATGGACATGAAGGACTGTTTTTAAGACACAAAAATCTAAAAAATAATTTGGCCTGAGGAAACCTACAAGCAGCTAGAGAGGTTGTTCCCTTGAAGTTGGGTAAACTTTAGCTTTGAGCGTTTTTATGGCTTATTATTTTGCTGGAAAAGCATTTAGTTTTATTTATTTAGGATTTGCCTGGAAAATCCTTCCTCAAACTGTTTCCATCCACAGTGCAGCTGCTCATACTAACCCTGTGATGCCACACCGGTTACAACTGAAATGAGTTAGTTTACGATGTACCTGTGCTATCATTTGAAAGTAAGAGTCTACTTGGGTTAAGAGGACGGTGGGCAGGCAAGGCTTAGGTGGCATCAGAATTAGAAGAGAAAGCAGATCAAAATGGTATTTAGTATTGCTAGAGTAAAGGACAAGAAAAAAGTCACTCATGTTGGTACAACCATGGTTGTGTGTGGGTGTTGTCATATTTAGTTCCTTAAGCAAGCTGTGACATAACAAAAACATTTTTAAAAATAGTGTGATAAAATGGAGTTTTTAAAAAGGAGAAAATAGAAATAGAAAATCGTTCTTTTTAAAAAAATTTGTGAAAAAATTTAACTTACCAAGCAGACCTGTCCCCAGTAGAGGGTTAAGTAGCTGTGGCACCACTGGGTTACTGTTGAGCTTAGCTGGACCAGGTGCATTCCCAGCATTATTAGATACATGCAGCAATGTTTCTGCCATTGACACCACTGCTGTCCCACCAAGGGTTGAGACAGTCAGTGCTGCCACTGCTGATGATGTAGTGGTTGTGGTAGTGGTTGCCTGGGAGGAGGTTGCTATGGAAACCTCTGGATGATTAGCAGTGTTGACCGATGCTGAGTTCAGGACATTTCCCAACAGCTGGGGATTCAAGGCCATTAATCCTGAGGCCCCAGTGACAGCTGGGAGGAACAGGGGGTTAAAAGTAGTGTCACTGCCTGCAAAATTTGGTAAAGGGTTCCCCAGGGGGCTGGTTAAAAGGGTCTCAGCTCGGCTGTTGTCTGACTGATTGCTTGGCAAGTGGTCTGACGGGGCTGTCATCTGTGTTAATGAGGGCAAAGGGGTATTTTGTTGTTGCAAAAGATCTGAGAGAGTCAGATTGAGAGATGGCAGGGGAAGCATGGCAGCTGCTTGGGCTTGGTTCTGAAGCAGGGCTGCTAAGAGCTGAAAGTGAACAGGCTGGAGTACCTGTCCGTCCATGTCACCGGAGAGAAAAGCTAAAGCAGTGTTTACATTTGGGTTGAGAAAACCTAAAGGGTGGAGGTTGATCTCAGACTTGCCTTCTCCTGCTGAAGGCTGGAGGATATTTAATAGATTCTGGTTTAGGAGATGCTGTTGATTCACTGGCAAAGAGATAGGTAGAGAACTGAGGAGGCTGGGGTTCAAGGGGTGTGGAAGATGGTTGTTTGAAGTGCTGTTGGATGGAAAATGAAGTGCGTGCTCCTGGCCAACAAAAGGAAAATCACTCCCAATGGGCAGCTGATTCTGCAGGGGGTTTCCAGTTGCGGTGGTGACTATGACTCCGTCTTGAAGAACAGATGTGGTCTTTGTGATGGTAGGATGACTGCAGCCAGCTATGGCTATGGAGGAGGATGGGCCTGTGCCGCCTAAAACAGGGGGAGAAGAAACCCAGTTATTACGGATTTGAGCACGAGTGTCTCTACAGTGCGCTACAACACATCGCAATGTACGGCATTTGTTACACGGCACCTTCATCGACTGTAACTGCATTAATTGTATCAGGGATGCTTTGGCATCTGTTAATGGAACTCCACTTCATTGGAAAATGAAAGCGTTGAAAATATTTGACACGTAAAGAAATAAATGATGCTGGGTATCAAATAGGCACAGAGACAAACAGAGAGTGAGGTGGCTGGGCTGCTGGACAAGCGACGACGGGAGAATCCGTCCTAGTGCATTCATTTGGGGAGGTGCAAGCAACAACTCTGCATTGTTTATTTTAAGAAAGTTTCTGGTCTTTATTTATAAAACAAGTACCTGCTTTTAATGTCAACAAAACAGAATCCCCACAAACCTAGAACGTACATGAAAGTATAAAGCAGAAAATAAGACGTATGTAATGGAGATAACAACAATTAATATTTTAGTGCGTAGCTTTCTGGGCTTTCCCACATGTTTCTATGTATGTACATTTGCAAACATATACGTACAAATGTAAGTACATACACATATATTTTAAAATAAAAGTAGAATCATAGAAAATGGCAGATCTGTCAATCATTCTGTGAGTTTTTTCATTAGTAAATATAATGTGAATGTCTTTCTGTTAACTCCTATAGAGGTACAGAATCATTTTACTAGAGCCACATATTGATATATATAATACAATCGATTCAGTCACAATGTTTTCCAATTTTTTACTATTATAGGCCACACTGTGATAAGCATTTTTAATAACATGTCTTTGTCATTTTGCCCAATTATTTTCTAAGGATAAATTCTTGAACGTGGAATTCCAGGATAAAAATGTTCACAGATTTGAAAAGCTCTGAATACATATTGTTAAACTCCCCTCCCGTGAAGTTGGTCAGTACACGTCGTTTATATTCCTATAGCAGTGCTCATGTCTCATCAACACTCTATTTTGCCATGATTTTAAGACAATTAATAAAAAATAATAAACTTTGTCATTCTCATAGTACAAAATGTTTTTACCTATGATTTCTTAAATTAGGTCAGGCCTCACCCAAATAGCATGTTTACTCTTGAAAGTCTTACACAAAAGATGAAAATTCAAGGTATTTAATGTTTTGAAATGTAAAATTTCAGTTGTTATCACTGCATTAGTGGTTCTCCAACAAAGCTACACAGTAGAATTATCTGGAGAAACTGAAAGAACCAAACAAAACTAGACATCAAAATAAACCAACCCATAGGCCCTAAGAAGCCAGACTCGTTGAGAATTCACCACTTGAGGTGCAGCCTGGGCAGCAGCTACTCTGTGGAATCACCCCTGTTGATCCGGATCTCAAGGGGAGTGAGCGGGGTAGGGAAGATGAAAAGCACATTCTGCTGCAAAGAAGCCTACAGTTCTTTCTTCTTTGTTAAAGAGCTTCCCCTGAGCAGAGGCATTCTTTCAGGTAGTACATGCATTTTGGCACTGTAAGCGTATGCTTTTCATTTTAAACAAATAAACATATGTACTGTAGTAGACAATACTTGTGGCATTAAAAATCTAAAACTGAAACATTTTAATGCTTTTACATTTGACCATGTTAGCATTGAAGCCTCGTCCAAATACAGGAACATTTCTATAGTGTAATAGTCACACAATTAATTTTCTATTCCTGTTTTTACCTGATAGGATAACACACTATTTCCTTGACATATAGACTTTGTAAATATATTTTTAACTGCATACTATATGGATTCACCACATTTATTGAACCGTTCTGATAAAGTTTGACATGTGCATTTTGACTTTTTATCATCCTACTACAGTACAGGGGTGACTATCTTTATGTGATTGCTACCATTGAATTATTTCCTCAGAAAAAAGTCATCCTTAGCATGATGCTGTGAGAATAAAATGTTGTGAGAATAAAAAGTAAATAAAAGGTTTGTAAGGTGTAAAAGTCTACATCAATAAAAGGAGTTGGCATTATTGTGATAACTGACGTTAATAGTGGTAACAGAAGTACTTATAAGCATTTACAACATACCTTACAAAATATCTCCATAGCAAGGGTTTGTCATTTTTCCCCATCTGGTATGATACTTTTTTGATTTTTAAAGCTCTCGATGTTTTATTTAAAGATAAGATTTTCAAAAATCTCTTTGGAAATATATAAATATTTATGAAATATCATGAAATAATAACTATGTTCACAAAGATTAGGGTAAGAAGACATATCAAATGCTGAAGGAGGCATATTGTACACAATTCTTTAAATATTAATCCAGGTTTTTTTTTTTTTTTTTTACAAAACAATCAACACCTTAAATATTTCATTGGTTCTTAAATCTTGGTGCTATTTCCATACATAGGTACTGTGCATTATTTGAATTTGGAAATAATGTTTTTACAAGAGGTAGTAAAAATATTATTTACTAGTAATCACTATCAATGGCATTTTTCTTACCTGCTTAATACTAATGCTATATTTAAATGTAGAGGTCACTGTTCTAACCATCAGCAAAGCACATTTTCAAAATACTTTAGCATATACATGGAAACATTTTGTAGATATTTTCCTTAGAGGTTAATAGTGTTTATGATCTTTAATTTGCAACAGAGAAGCACTCATATTTATGATTCAAGAAGGTAGTCATTTAGGAATAACATTACTTTTATAGTTCTCCATCTAAATATTCTTGAGAAATTGCAATAAAAATGTATAGTTACCCTGGGTGTATTTTTGCCTTATGAACAGGAAAGTAGTGAATATTATAAGCATTTTACAGGTAATATATGGATCAAGATGTATTTCCTATTTTCCCTAATTTTCAAAAAATCAATAAACAGGTATATTCTGCCAAACAATAGGATAGAAATAATGATATAAATTAAAAAAAATACACTGCCATTTCCTGCAGGAACTTCCAGCTTGGGCACACAGATGAAGACAAATCTTTCTGTCGTTCTTTACCCTGTGTAAAATATACATTTATTGAGTTTTAAGCTAGGAAAATTGAAAGGTCTTTTCACGTGCTAGCTAGTATAACCATAAAGCAATATGCTAAGAGCCACAACGGGTGTATTTAACAAGGGGACAATTATAACACTGAAGGTGTCAGAGAAAACCACGTAAGTAGTAACATTTGATCTGGGATCTGAGAGATGAAAGGATGAAAAGGGCTTCGCAGTGGACACATAATACTTTTTTTTTTAATACAAGGAGATAATGCTGAAGATGGAAGGTGACAGAGTCCTGTATGTCTCCAAAACAAAGAAACATGACTGAAAATACGTGCATGGTTTTCTCAGATCCCAGCTCTCTCTGCCCACAGCTAAACCTGCAGTCTTGTACAAATACTGAAGAAAGCTGAAGTCATATTTCTAAACCTCAAAGGCAAGACTTCTTTCTTATTTTCCCGTGTATTTCAAGACCTAACACACCCTCTGACACATGGATGACATTCAAAAAATGCTCATTGGTTGAATGAATCTACGAAGACCATACCTAACGCTTGCATTCAACTTCTGGAATTTAATTTGATACCATGTGTGAGCATGTATGTAGAGAAAATGAAAACTGACTCTCTAGAGTATTGGTCGAGTCCAGGAGATAAGGGGTACTAGAAAGGAGATGGACAGAAGATGGCAAGCCACCTTAGAAAGCTCCTAGGTATTCTAAGAGTTAGAACTATTTTCTAGAAGGACAGACCCACCCCAAAGTACACTCAGTTCTTGAAGTCATTCATTAATGCTTGGGGTCATTCAAAGGGGAACCTGAATTTGTGTGACTTTTTGTAACTGGAGGGAAATTTGGAGATATGTTTATTTCTGGACCACTTAATCTCGATAAGGCACTATCTGGCGAACCTATTTCATGGTTCTGCATAATAATTTTATGATTTGTTGAAGCATGCAAAGATGTTTGGTCAGTTTTTTTGTTGTTGTTGTTTTGTAGATGTTTTGTGGTTAAGGAAAGGGGCAGTAGCTAAGAGTTTCTTAAAAAGTAAATTATTCATTAAATATGTAACAGTTAAATAACCAAAAGGAAGTTGAAATTCTGGAAGAAGTTACTAAGCCAAAATAATGAACTGGAAAAAATGATTATTTTATACCAGCCACCATGAACTGGCAATTTCTTTTTCTCACTGTCTGTGTTGCTTTTGAAGAGTTGGTGGGGGGGAGTGCCTGGAAATCTACTCAGATGAACTCGGCAGGTGCTGGATCACATTCCTAGAACCCAGCGATTGACACAAGGAAACAGTGATAGCTCATAGGACAGATTTCCAGATATACAGGCCTTTGTACACACTATTTATACTTTCATATGTGTATGTAGAAATAGCCATCAGTAAAAATTTGAAAGATTTTAAAAGATTTTTTTGACATTATTCATTTAATCCTTGAGAATGTCTACTTGCTCCAATTTTAGAATTGATTTTTAAAGTGAGGTAATGTCTACCTCTTTAGATTTCTTTTTCTCCTAGTCACAAACATTCCTTGAGAAAGCAATTATTCATATTGTGCCAGATTATTATATGCCTGACTCTTAAATACACATGCAAAAAAAGAGCACAAAGATCATACCAAGCAGATCAATTAAATATTTAAACATGTTACTATACTGGTTTGTTCTATGTCTATAATTTTTATTATACACCATGCTAAGAAACTATTTCTAAAATGACATGCCCGAATACTGCTTTTATCCATAAAATTTATGAACCTGAGATATGAGTCACAAAGAAGGTATTTGCATTTCTCAGCCTTTGTCATTTGCTTTGGAAGTACACATTCTTTGTAAACAGGGTCAATAGCAGTCCTTTATAAAAAGAAATGCTTCTAGAGATGACAAAATATGATGGCTAGTGAGTCTAACAAGTATAGTTCACTTCTCAATCCCACTGAAAGTGAATTTTTCTCTTCTGTATTTAAAGGGCTAATTTTTAATCCTTATAACAATAAACTGAA